CCACCCACCGAACATCTGAGCATGCAGGCTGTGGTCCCACCTCACTTACTCTGGGCGCAGGCATGGCTGCTGGTCTTGCGGAAGCCCGTGGGGCAGGCGCAGGTGTAATCCTTGCTGCTGGGCAGGCAGAGGTGAGTACAGCCCCCGTTGTTGGCCCCACAACGGTTTCTCCCTGCTCAAGTAGCCAAAGACAAAAACAACCAGGCATAAAGCAAAAAGAGTAAAGGAAAGAGGACGAACAGCAGGTGAGGTGTTAAAACCCACATGAGAAAGAGCACTTGTCCACTCAGAAGTTAATTGAGAATAAAAAAAGGTATAAACTAAAGCACTAACTCCATTTGTAGGGCTCAATTTTAAAATAAAGTATCTAACTCAATCCACTTCTAGAGCAGATTATGGCAACTCAAGAGGAATAAGGGAGGTGTCAGTCATTATTAGTGCCCGCTCATGACTCTTTTTTTTTTTTCCCCCCTCCCAAAACAGCTCTTGCATAAACAAGTCACAAATATTTCTTACTGGAGAGCCTCCACTCCCCGGTGTCAGCAGAGGGAGCTGTGGTAACACCAGGTTAAGGGGGCTGAGGGACCTCAACTGAACTGCCCGATGGAGCAAGTTCTACACAGCTCTGCAGAGGGAGGTGGTTATCTATGGGTTATAATATGGGTTATATGGGTTATAATATGGTGGGTTGGGACCTGCCACCTCCCTGCTTTACGGGGTGGTGGGTGGCAGCAGGTCTTCTAGTGCCTCAAATGGGTCTCTACCCTCTCTGCAGTTACCTGCTGGCTGGCGCTGAGGGTGCAGCGTGTGGATGTCCATAGGGAAGTGGAGCTTGTTGCGGATGATCTCCTGGTTCTTGCCCGTGAATTTGTTGGCGCTGTTGATGCTCTTGGTGTGCCAGTCTGTCCAGTACAAACTGTCCTCAAACACAGTGATAGCAAATGGGTGGGGGAGGCCTGTAACAGACAGCAAGTAGAAGGATGTGATCAGGTCCAACAGGACTCAAGCTAGCAGGAAGACAAGGAAAAGCTCTTTCCACTGCCCCTTAGGCTTTGCCACAGTCATAGAATCATAAAATCATTTTGGTTGGAAAAGACCCTTGGGATCATTGAGTCCAACCATCTACCCTACTCTACAAAGTCATCCCCTACACCATATCCCCCAACACCACATCTAAACAACTCTTAAACACATCCAGGGATAGCAACTCAACCACCTCCCTGGGCAGCCTGTTCCAATGCCCGACCACTCTTTCTGTGAAAAATTCCTTCCTAATGTTCAGTCTAAACCTCCCCTGTTGGAGCTTGAAGCCGTTCCCTCTCGTTCTGTCACTAATTACCTGCGAGAAGAGACCAGCACCAACTTCTCTACAGTGTCCTTTCAAGTAGTTGTAGAGAGCGATGAGGTCTCCCCTCAGCCTCCTCTTCCTCAAAGTAAACAGTCCCAGCTCAATCTACTCAAATCCACCTTCAACTAATATAATAGACAATTCCTCTCTTCTGTCCACCAAAGACAAAGCAAATACCATCCCTCAGCAGTGGTAGAATTCTTCCTCGGTGTAAGAACAGGAACCAAGCATAGAAACAGAAGCCAGCGGCTCTGAAACCACTGTGTTACTCTGTCTTCTTTACTGCAGAGAGCACTCCCTGTACGTAGCCCTGTTACTTACCTTGGCTAATAACAGCCTTCCTATTCCGCCCGTCAAGGTCGGCTCTCTCAATGACGTGATGTTTGGCATCCACCCAGTACATTCGGTGTCCTGCATAGTCAATGGTCAGTCCGTTGGGCCAGAAGAGGTGCGTGTCCGCAATGATGCGCCGGTTAGAGCCATCCATGTTGGAATACTCAATGCGGGGAGTGTTGCCCCAGTCGGTCCAGTAGATAGTGCTGGAAGAGGCAGGGAGAGACAGGTTGGAAAACTAATGTCCCATGCACCTCACTCCCTATCAGGGCAAAACAGTGTCAACTCCTGGGACCTTGAGCATGAGACTGGGTCACAGCCATGGGAGAAGCAACAGCCAACAAGGTAACACCCAGTTGGCGACAGCCAACATGGTAACACCAGTTTTTCACCAGGCTGGTGAAACCTGAAGGGGCCAGAATAAGATTAAGGCTCCGCAGGTCCCCCAGCATTGCCAGGTTCCCCAAACTGGCAGTGCCAAATGAAGGCTTGAGCCCAGAGGCAGCCTTTGTGACCAAGGATGAGGTTTTCAATGTTTGCCTGGAAGCACTTGCACGGAGGGCTCACTGGAGTCCTAAGTTTTCACTCACCCCTCCATAGGATGTAGGGCAATTGCTCGGGGCTTCTCCAGGTTCTGCCACAAAAGCACTTTCCTGTGAGTGCCATCCAAGTTTGCTACTTCGATTCGAGATGTCCCAGAGTCTGTCCAGTATAATTTGTCGTGGATCCAGTCAATAGCAAGCCCACCTATCTCCGGGGGAGAATTAAGCACACAGTGAAACTAGGAGCAGGATGTGCTCACAAAAAACAGTTCCCTTTCCCACTCAGCCTGAGAAGAGGCCCAATTCAGTCCTCCTGCCTCTTCCCCCATCAGGCCAGATTAACTCCAGAGGGACACTGATCTCGCACCCATTCCATCCAACCCATCCCCTTGCTCAGGGAGATGCACTCCACTTCGAATGCTGGATACCCACTTTTCTCCACACACCCACCCCTATTCTCACACCGTGGCCAGCCCCCAGGCTTTTGCCTTTTTTTTGTGGTGACGCACCTGGGCTCTCCAGCCCTGTGGAAACCACCTCTTCCACGTTGCTACCGTTCAGATTGGCCCTCATGATGCGATCGAGGGTGACGTCAGACCAGAACACCAGCTCCTTGCTGTGGTGGAAGTCAAGGGCGATGGCGTTTTCCAGGTTGTTCAGGAGCAGCGTATACTCTGAGCGGTGAGGCAACACTTGTCGGATATCGATTCGATTGGCAAAGAGCAGCACTGGCTCTGGCCCTGGGAATAGACGTGGGAAGACAGCATTAAAGACTTGGACAGGGCCCTGCCTTCCATTCTTTCTGCACCAAGTCCCAGAATATAGTTTTGCAGTTAGAAATAAACTCCCAAGTGCAAAACACTTCAGAGAGCTGTTTTCGTCATCCTCAATACACGGTCTTAACTCCAAGATAAGCAGTTTTAAACCTTTTGGAAAATATTGTTTCAGGAAGAAGTGATCATTCCCTGGTCCCACCCCAGCCCACCTCATCTCAGCCTCTGAAACCATACCACTAGACAGATGGACTATAGCTCCCTTTTTCTATATATCCATCTCCTAGCCATACAAACGCACATGCTCCACCACATCTTCTACCACAGACAAGACAGTTAAAATCTGCCTCAGGGAGATATAAACTCAGCTGGCACTTGATAAAAAGAATAAAGAAAATCAGCATCAACATTCTATATGGATTTCCCTAGGGGAACTCCTAATGAAATCTTAATTCTTTAAATGCAATTTCTAATTTCTCAGCTCTTACATTAGAGGAGCTGAGGAATAAAGTTAAACAAGTGTATAGCAAGCATATAGATGCCCTTAAAAAACAGCAGATGTCCACAGAGCAGCCACTTCCAGCATTCAGGACAGGTGACCAGCATCAAGGGTCAAACCACAAGGAGGTGAGATATAACCTCACCGACTGGAAAGGTTTGGACACTTCCTGAACAGAGATAGAGGCAGGAGGCTGGGTTTGTCCAAGGGTCTGGGGTGACCAGGAATGACAAGGGACTAGGAAAAGGTGGCAAGGCCTGTCCTGCTGGCAGGAAAAAAAACAGTGAGGTATGTCTCCATGGTCAAAATCACACAAAATTTTCACAAGCATTCACCAACAACCCAGGCATATCTCATACCAATCCAGGTACTTCCTTTCCTCACATGTTGGCTTGGTGAACAGCATAATGCTGCTAATGAAGCATTAGAGAGAAAACTATGTGAGAACTGGACCAACACACACCAGAATAAGGTTGAGCCCTTTACCTAGAGCTTTGCAGCTACGCTTGTCAGGTCGCAGCTCGTAGCCTTGCTCACACCAGCACTGGAAACCTCCTTCACTGTTGGTACAGCCTTGGCTGCAGTAGCCTTCCTCAGCACATTCATTCACATCTGCGTGGTGCAGAAAGGAGAGAGCTACCATTAGATCATCAACAAGTCAGGCAACCTCCCCAACAGCTTGCTTCTGCTTTCATGCTCTGTTTGCACCCTATCATAGCCATCAACTTCAAGCACATCAAAGCAGCAGGGAGGAGGCTACAGCTCCAAAAACCCACCTTGGCATGATCGGCCGTCTTCCAGGAGCCTGTAACCTGTGTGGCAGGTGCACTGCACCATCCCTCGTACCATCTGGCACTTCTGAGCACAGCCACCATTGTTGATGTTGCAGTTCTCCTCCCCTGTTCGTGGACCTACGGAAGGAAGACGTGAAGATAACTGAGCTGAAAGCACAAGGCAGCTGCTTGTGTCCTCAGCTGTCACCCTTCAGAACAGGCTGAGCAAGACGGGGAGGACACAGGCTGTGCTGGAAGCTGCTGCTTCACAATCAGAACTCTCCCCTGCAGGCCACAACCAAAGGGGACAATGAACCTCAGAATAATATGCTTTTAGGATCCACTGTCTCTGCAGGCAAACTTTAATACCCAAGATCATAACCTTCTCCTCATTATTACTTGCCTGCAGCATGTAATGGGCAAAACCACCAAGGTCGTTTTCCTCTATCTTCAACTCTCTTCCATTATCACAGCCCAGGCTTGTTTTCTTACACACATCCTTCAGCAACGCCACAGAGACTCCCACACGTCACACGTTTTGACAATGGAGTGCCTCCGTTTACGTTTAAGACTGAACTTGGGAAGAACTTACGGCAGTTTTGATGGGGGCTCTCATCGCTGCCATCTCCACAATCATTTGCTCCATTGCACAGCTTCCTCTGGCCAATACAACGCCCGTTCCCACACAGGAACTGGTCTGGGGCACACTGAGGGGTTCCTGCAACAGAAAGGGGAAAGTGAGCACACCAGAGCTTACTGATGGAACAACAGTCATGGCAAAGAAAAGGATATAGAACATTTTCCATGACTTGTTACAAACTTTACACATGAGCACAAATCCATGACTTCCTCTTTCCTTGAATTCAGCTCATCTTGCACTCCTTACTGCTCCACCTATCTTTATGCTGATTTGAAGGCCTGCAAACTGTCTTCCAGACTGAGTCCCATGTTGCTTTATTGGGAAGTTCAGCCTTTTAATTTCTCTCAGAATGCCGGGAAGGCCCTGGCTTAGTTCCCTTCGGTTCCAGATTCCACAACCCTACTCAGTATGTGCAAGAGAAGACTCAGTTCCTCACTTTAATCATCTGATATGTCACCCCAGCACGGCTATGGATCTTAAACCTGCCCAGGAATGAGCGTCTTGTCCAGCCCTAACTGCACTGCGATGGACTTGGAATGAGATTTACATCCATCCTTGAAATCTGAGCTCAGGCCACAGGATTTCACACATGAGCTACACTCTTCAACTTCTAGCTGTTGGCAGAGAGACTCTACAGAGTTCTCCTAAGTAAAGCAATGCTGTTTGTAGGGACTTTGCCAATCTGAATGTTTCTTCAGCAATAACTGCACCGTCCCGTTGCATCTCATTTCTTGTACCTCTTAAGCTGACTTGGTTAGTGGTTTCCAAATCAACACCCTCTGATAATCCTAAGAAGACAACAGGACAATACAGTTATCAGCAAAGAAATGATTAGACTGGCAGGTTGCCCACATAAGCAGCATGGAAAAGGGTAGTTGTGAGAGTAACAACAAGTACAAATATTGAACTAAGAGACACGCCAACTGGGAACATAAAACCAAATCACATGCAGATTCTCTTTTCAGAGCACAGGAATGCTTTATATGAAGGATTCTGAAACGTGACTGCATTTGTCATACCGAACATAAAGATCCTTACATCATCTGATCTCCTAGTATTCTAGGAATTCTCTTCATGGCCAATAAAAATATAATTCTGCTCTAAATCCAAGAGGTGACACAGGATTTTAACTCTTGCTACCGACATTGAGCCAGCACAGCATTCCACTTAGATGAGCCAGTTCACACTCTTCTTGGAACTCCTGAGTTAATTTTCACCTGCTGACCATCACCGTAGACCTAACGAAGAACTGCACAAGTAACCTCACAGTAACAATAGCTGTACTGAACCACCTTGGGTTTGGTTTGAGGTGGAGAGGTTGAATTTCAGTCTCCCTGGAAGTTTGACTTGGCTTCTGGGTGGCAAAATACCTCTAAATACCATTGTTATTGGGATGAGGCAACAGGGTTATCGGCTTGTCCGTATGTACAGTTGCTTTTTCCAGGATCACCACAATCTCCTGCACATCAATGCTCACAACAGCTGACCAATCTAAAGCAGCTGCTCTCAAATGGCTACAAAGTGTGGCCCTCCAGGTCCTCTGAGCTCAGCTGTCCTTGTAGAACACTCACTCTCCCCTCCTCAACAGGCCCAAACAAGGGGTACAGTTTCACAAATCCCTTTTTATTCTACGTAATCCTTACATAGGAATTAAATACCCAAACTTAATTGCTTTCTATGACAAAGTAACCTTCTCGGTTGATGTGGGGCGAGTGGTGGACACTGTCTACCTGGATTGCTCCAAGGCTTTCAACACGGTGCCCCACATCATCCTCCTAGAGGAAGTGATGTGTTCTGGTCTAGACAAGCAGTCTGTGCCGTGGGAGGGCAACTGGCTGAGAGGCTGCACCCAGAGGGTGGTGGTAAATGTCTCCTTTTCAAACTGGCAACCTGTCATGAGTGGGGTTCCCAAGGCATTGATCCCGGTCCCAGTGCTGTTTAGTATCCTCATAAGTGATCAGGATGATGGGATCAAGCATAACGTGATGAAGTTTGCTGATCATACCAAACCGAGTGGGGAAAGGGACACTTTGGACGGGAGAGCCACCCTGCAGGAAGGCCTGGAGAGGCTGGAAGAATGGGCTAAAAAGAATCTTTTGAAGTTCAACAAGGACAAGCATAAGGTCTTGCACCTGGAAAAACATAATCCAGGAGTGCAGCACAGACTGAGATCTACCTGGCTGGGGAGCAACTCTATGGAAAGGGACCTGGGGGTCCTGGTGGACAACAAGCTCAGTATGAGTGAACGGTGGGCTGCTGGGGCAAAGAAAGCCAACAGGGTGCTGGGGTGCATCAACAAGGGCATCACCAGCAGAGATATCAAAGTCATTATCCCACTCTACTCAGCTCTTGTCAGGCACATGTATTCAGTTTCCACTATACAAAATAGATGTGGAGAAGCTGGAGAGGGTTCAGAGAAGGGCCACCAAAGGACCGGGAAGCTGCCATAAGAGGAAAGGTTGAGAGAACTGGGTTTGTTCAGCCTCAAGAAAACAAGGCTACAGGGAGACCTTGTCACCATATTCCTGTATTTAAAGGGTGGCTACAAAGAAGATGGAGACTCCCCTTTTTACAAGGGGTTACATGGCAGAGACAAGGAGTAATGGGTACAAGTTACTCCTGGGGAGATTCTGATTGGACACAAGAGGAAAATTTTTCACAATGAGAACAATCA